GCCGGAGCCGCTTCCCGCTGGCTCAGCAATGGCTTGGTCTCCAGGGGCTGCGGGAACGACTGGGCCAGCCTGCAAACACAAGAGAGGGGAACAAGATCAAATGTCCTCTGTCCCACGGCACGCCGGCGCTCGTCGTCCTTGGAAAGCAGCTCGGCTTTGGGATCGCGCCGGGGCACTCCGGGGATGCTTAGCACGGAATATTCCCAGCTGGAAGGGCCCCAACAAGGATCACTGAGTCCGGGAATCAAACCTGCCCCCTCGGTGTTTTTAGCACCGCCTGAGCTACTCTCAAGCTGTTGGGAGCTCCGTGGATGCTGTGCCACTGGCACGGGAACGGTGGCAGCAGGTTTCTGCCCCGGAGCACAGGCTCTGTCAGGACACACAGAGAGAAGCTAAGAAGTCACTCAGAGGCCTGGCTGGCTCCATGCTGTGTTCCCAGAAATCCTGCTGAACAGGCTTTCCTGCTGTAAAAATAATGGATGAGTACAGCAGAAGGTTTCCCCACTTTTTAACCAGACACACCACAGGCGGTTGTTTTGCCTGTTCCCATGCAGCTCTTTAAGGGGCAGAGCTGTGGAGGGAACAAGGTGAGGGGGTTTAGGGCAGGCACTGGCTGGTCCTGGAATGTTTCCAGGGCAGGTTATGGCTTTCCAAGAACCTTTTTGGAGGGCCAGGGCAGAGGGAGCTGGGACAGCAATAACGGGACACCAACAGCTGCAGCTCCACCTCCAGGAGCTTTAATGCTGGAGATGGCACAGAGCTGAACCCACCAGCTGTGGGATTGTGGAAGATGGAGAGTGGCCATCTCTGCACAGCCACCAAGGGACAAAACCGTGGATTTTTAAACCCACACGCCCTAACGGGGTCGCTCTGAGGGCCCAGAGAGGACAAAGGGGAAGCAGAAGCTGTGTCAGGAAAGATGTCACACCTGTTCCCCCACAAAGAGTTATTCACTGCTTCTTTAGCCGTGGTCTGCAGGGAGCCCATTTTTACGTGCGCGTTGGAGGACCCTGAGGAAGCCTGGGAAGGGGAATAGTCTGAGTAAGTGCCTGAGGAAACGCTGTTATTCAGACAATGGATCTTATCTGCTTCAGACTCATCTGTCGACTCTGAAACAAAACACAGCAAACGCTTTCAGGGGCGGCACTCGGGAACGGAACACCAGAAAATCACATTTTAACTTAAATCTGTTATTGCATTGCATTGGGCTGTGCTGATACGTGCACAAATGCCCACGGGCTATGGTTTACAAGCAGAGGCGGCACATCCCCATCACAAGGTTTCATCTCAAAGGCTGCAAATCCATCAGTACCTTTCTTGTCTTTACCCAGCAGGACGAGTTTGGGCGGGTAGAGCGGCGTCTCGGGCATGGAAGGACGGAGCTCCCCTATCCTCATCTCGCTGGCAGGGTGTCCAAAGGCATCCTGAGGGACACAACGAGGCACAGTGAGCACAGGGAACGGCAGCACCTCAACCTGCAGCACACAGACAGCTCACAGCCTGCTCCTCGAGACCATCAAACACCCCAAACCCACCACACGGGCAGTGCAGTGCAGTGCACCAAGTTCTAATTCGTCAGCAGAGAGTTCTGATTAATCCTCCTCAAAATTAGGGTGATGTGCTCGTTATGGAAATGTGGACAAACCAGATGGAACTTGCAAGATACATCAAGGCCCTGTAAACATTTTTGAGGAAGTCAAGGTCACCAAAAACGCTGCCAGCAGAAAGAAACAAACACTAATTGAGTGTAAACAATTGGTATTTCAGAGGGAGGATTCCTCGCTCAGTTATTTCTGGTGAGTCCTTCCAGAGATTCAGCTGTCCCTGGAGCTGTACTTAATTAAAATGGCTTTGTCTCTGAGGAGTTTGTGGCTAAATTAAAATTATTTGGATTTAATAAACTTCTGCCCGAGGGTTCAGCACACCTGACCTTCACACAGGCCCTGTAACAGAACGTGTGCTGAAAATAACCCCAGTAAAACTGGGGGAGGAAAGTGGGACTCATTCTTAGAAAGAGAAATTTTAAATTAGGGCAGTTAAGCCCTTAGGGTGGCTGGGAGGGAATGAAGGCACCAATGGGAATTTTGGGGCTTTTCTCATCCCTGCAGAAAGCTCAGAGATGAGGAGGGTGTGTGTCCTGGGGAGACAGGGCTGGGTGACACAGGAGGGTCTCTGAACAGCTTGTGAAGGTTCTCCAGTGAGTTTGGAGAGGGAAGGCCAGAGGGAGAGATGTAATAATTAGAGAAACAATTTAAGCTGGAGTAGCCAAACCAAATTTGCATTGCTAAAATGTTTAATGCTACAAGGTTTAAAACATTTTCTTGTTTTCACTTACAAGGAGGAAACTTTCAGGGGTTTTCTGCCATTAAATACCTTTTGTAGTGAGAGAGATTTGTGGAAGCATTTGCCATGTGATTTATCCTTGGAGAATTTAGTTCTGTTTGCACCAGAGCCATTTCAAACCCTCTGTATCTGATGTTCTACTGCAGGCAGGACCTTCTCAGATAGAGCCATCCTCAGTTTAATCAATGCCCTCAGGGCTGATATTTAAGGCAGTTCCATGGTGATTCCCACATGGAGTGACCCAGCCCTCCCTTCCCCATGCAGAGGATTCCCGTGGTGCTCCACAGGTGCCCAGTGCCCTTTCCCAGTGCAGTGGGAGCAGCTGGTGGGCGCCCAGAGCTGGGGGCAGTGCAGGTGCAGAGCAGTGCAGAGGGTGAATCTCTCCACCTGAGCAGCCCAGNGGGGGCTCTCGGGGGCAAGCAGCAGGGCTTGAGAGGCTCAGGACAGAAAGAATGAGAATAATGAATGGTGAGAGAGAAGAGAAAACTCATTGGACATTGGACGGGACTCGTTACTCTCAGAGAAACGGATTTTGGTGAAATTGCAATGTTTAAAGAGCCTGGCGTTAACTCTGGAGTTAGCACTTGCTCCCTGCTCATTCCAGCAGCAGGAACTTTGTCAGGAAGGATTTGCCACCAAGGCAAAGGAGCTGTTTGTGTTTTCTGCAGCAAACATCCCCTGCTGGCAGTGCCCAGGCTGGGCTGGCTCTGTGTGCAGCTCCCAGAACCTCCTGCCTTGTGCCAGGGGCGTTTTTGTACAATATTGACCTGGAATTCAATGTTTGCCTCATCATGAATGGTCACAACGCACAGGGAAAGTTTCCCCAGTAATTCCCTTTTCTCTCCTGTTCCATGTTTCTTCCTTGTCACTTTCCCCCTGGTTGTTTCATTCCTGTTTTTAGGCTTTGGAGGGGGTTTGGACTTTTCCTGCCCCACCCTGAGTTTCCATTATCTGTCCCTCTATTTCTCCACCATCACTGGGAGTTTTCCTAACACCTTTTGGGTGTCAGACTTCCCAAAATTCCAGCACTGTCCTGCCACTGACAGCACCTGGCACAGTTCAGTGCTTATTGATTAATGGGAATCTGCAAAGGAGCAAAAAATATCTGTTCTTCCCCTCTGCCATTCCAGGCATTTCTTCTCCAGCTTTAAGTAAAAAAAATAAAAATCAGGATACACTTCTCTAGATGGATGAAGGATTAATCAAATTTGCTTTGAAATGTGAAAGGTGGGAATTTTTCCATTAAAAACTGTTTTTAGACAGAAGTTGAAAAGTAAATAGAAGGAAATTATGATTTAAATCACATCTCTGACGTGAAGTGATTATTTAAAATGAAAAGAAACTTCCATTATAATTCTTCCATCATTCAAGAAACCTTCTAGAAAAATAATGGAATTTGTGATTTTCCTTCTATGAAAAACCACTAGAAAAAAACATTTCCCCAGTTTATAGCCCAGGATCTCCTTGCAGAGCTTTCTTTATCCCCATTAAAAATAGAAAAATGGAAAAATGGGCAGTTCTGTCCAGAGCTGCCCTGGGATCTGCTCACACCCCAAGGGATCCATTCATGGGCCCCTCTGGGTGTCCTCCCTCAGATTCCCAAGGAAGGTGGGAATTCCCATTCTGGGAATGGGCTGCACCAAACCATGAGCTTTTAAAACTTTTCCCTGGCAGCCAGACATGGAAAGGATCCCTCTGGAGAGAGCTGGGCCTGACCTGCAGAGGGGAGTTTGCACTCCAGAGGGAAAAGGGAAAATGCAGAGAGTGCTCTCAGCTTCCTCCAGAAACAGGGAAACCCTGGGATTTCATTTGCTGCAGCAAAAGGAATTTGTCCCCAGAATTGTGGCTGTTTTCTGAGCTGGGACAGGCTGCAGCCCAGCTCCACTTCCAGGAAATGTGGGGAAAAGAGGAAATGCAGCACTTCCCACATTTTCTGCAGGGGCAGATCGATGTCATGAACATTTTCAAGGCAATTCAGTGTTAAGGTTGGTTTCCTGACAGCCAGAGCTCACTCATTACTCTCTTGAATCCAGGCCACGGGAAGGAGGGAGCAGAAGAGGCAAGGATTAAACTGCTGTGGCCTGGATTCTTTAGGAAATGCAAATTCTGTGGAAGGTGTGAAGCAATAAAATCAAACAACACTAAATATACACGGCATTTTTCCAACAGTCATTTCCCCCTGCAGTGACCTTTGCCAACAATCATTTCCCCAAACAGTACAGTGAGAGAACAACCCCTCAGTGCAGTTCAGCATCACAGTTTCTATGGACATGGAGCAATGGAATGCTGGTGAGAGAGAAAAGCAGAATAACCCACATCAGACCACACCCCAGAACAGATCACAGAGCAGATTCCTGGGTTTCCTCAGACATCCATCATTAATATCCACATTCACCTACAGCCTGAAACCCTGGCAGTGCCCAAACCACCTCACTCCCAACGTGTGGAGGAACCAGCACCTCTCTCTTGGGGGTTGATGGGTTTTTCCCAATGGATTTTTCCAGGGACAGGCGACAAGTACCTGAGCAGACAGACAGGTCTGGGAAGCAAAGACAACACTGGGGTGTCCCTGCCCAGCACACACATCCAGGGGGACCCCTGGCAGCCCCCCGCCCCACCACAGAGCAGCACAGACCCAGAGCAGCACGGGGGACATGGATGGAGGTGACAGGAGATGGAGGGCTGGGGACACCGGGGAAGGCCTGGCACAGCTCCCCCTGCCCGGATTGCTGGCAATTCCAGCTGCAGGTGGGCAAGGGGAGCAGGGCTGAGCTCTGGGCCAGCTCCTGCTGCTGCTGCATCATCCTGCTCTCCTCAAACCCCTGGACCTGAGCTCTGAACCCTTGGGAGGCTCCTTTGGGAGTTGCTGGCCAGGCTGTTCCACAGGGCCCAGCCTGCTGCTGCTGATTTGTCCCCTTGGTTTCTGTGCCAGGGCAGGGAGAGGCTGAGCCATGCCCATCCCTCAGGATGCAGGGAAAGCTCTCAGCATCCCTCCCTGGCACTGAGAATCCTGCAGGAATGGCCCTCTCTGCCTTGTCCTGTGGGCCTCTCCCTTCAGATATTCCTTGGGAATACATGGTTTTGTATGTCTGTACTAGTCAACAATGTATCAATAATAAATATAAGATAAATAGTAAACAAATGAGGGAAATATTCTCTTTTTTAGGTGTTACTCGAAGTTTGAAATGGGTTTGGGTTGTGGTAATGTGTTCAAAACCCATCAGGAATTACAGCACAACCAATTAATGCTCAGATATCAAAATCCCTGTCTCCTGGAGCCTGTTTAACATTTCCACACCCGTTTTTCTAGGATCAAACAGCCCCGGAGCAAACCACGCTCCCCACTGAGCAAAGGGCAGCGCTGGCGTGTGTGAGGAGAGCAGGAGAGCAGGAATGACAGCCAGGGAGCCCAGAATCCAAAAAGCAAGGCCAGCAAGGGGCAGAGCTGCATCCCTGCCAGCCTTGCTTTGTGGAGCGGGCATCCTCAAAGCAGGAGGAAGAGGCAGAAGCTAAACCAGGAGGAAGCAAGGATCATTAATTAACCGGGAATGCCGGCAATGCTGGCTAGCCCATACTTACTTTCGGTAGAGGTAGCTCTTGAAGCATTTGGTTTTCAAATTTAGATTTAGGCTGCAAGTTTAAAGTCATGCTTCGGCCGGCATGCATGGCTGAAACCCCTCCAGAGTGCAGCATGCCAAGGCTAACTGTGTGGTGTTTGTAAGCAGCGCTCTGAGTAGAGGAAACAACCACGGGACACATATGAACACACATGCTCAGAATTAAGTCTCACACATACATGGTTAAGTTCACAGAGTTTTAGTTTAAGCCAACAAACAGTCCCGAGTCTCGGTAGCTCCTCCAGGCATGCACTGGTCACACACAGCGAGTACATTGCTCCTCGTACAGAAAATGGGCACCAGAGAGGACTTCCACGCTGACAGCACAAGGGGGTGGTGGCATCTGCACTTCACCTCGTACAAATCTCGCTTTTGCAAAAAAAGGGCCAAATCTGGGGTGGGCTGTGCAGCCAGGGCTGTGCCTGGTGGGGAGCAGCGAGTCCTGCTCCCCAAAAACCTGGCTG